ATCAGACGTTGGAACAGTGAAGAGGGTGCGTTTCCCGTTGAGGCCTACTTTTCGAGCGGATGTTCTGTGGTCGCAACCCAGTGCGCCTTTCGGAATCGCTTTAATTTAGCCCCATTGGCCCCTGTCCCTCGGCCCATTACAACACCTGAGAACATTGAGGCAGTAAGAGCTTTAGTGTTGCGATCACCACGGCTAGATGAGTTGGACTTAGGGGACATTTGGTTCCAACAAGACGGTGCAACGGCTCAAACTTCAAGAGCATGATGGCTGTTTTGAGGGAATACTTCACAAAACTCAATTAGTCGGTACAAGTAGAGTTAAATCTCAATTAGGGGTGATTTGGAGTAGCCGGCCCGGTCTGCCGATTTGGCTCCTTGTGATTTTTTCTATGGGGTTTTTTTGAAATCCCGTATTTATGTGAACCATCAAAAGACCCTACAAGATTTGACTAACATCCAGGAAGAAATTGCCAACATAATCCCTGCTATACTGGCAAGAGTCATGACAAACGCCAGAAATCGGTTTACTCAGTGTATGGATAATGGGGGACGTATCCTACCTGATTTGATCTTCAAAACTGTGTAAAAACTGTTCAAAATTTTATGTATGTGCCTACATTATAAAAAGCAAATAAAAATTTTCTGATTCATACAATAGGTTGTATTAAGTTTTGAAAAAAGGAAGTTATGTTGCCGCACCCTGTATGTACAATTTAGTATATAAATAGATGGCAGGGTTAGAACGCCTAAACGCACGAACATGTGTCGGCAGTCCTCACTGTATCCCAGGTCTCCCACAACTCTTAGAGCCCTACGCTGTATGCTAAAGACCCGTTTGCTAGCGGAAGTGTTTACGCTCGCTAAAATAACATAAAATATATGATTTAGGAGTAGTAACGGTCGTTACTGTTAGGAACTAAAGTAATTTATTGGGATACACGACCAACACGACAAAGGCTAGATAATTGAAAAGAGGCTTCCTTTTATCTTTACCGAGCTTTCGGAAATTTTATTTTTCCTTCTTCAGAGGTAACTACAATATTGAGAAAACAAAAGTTACAATAGTTAACAAACAAACATTTGAACAACTTACAAAAATGGATTGCATAAAGGAACTGAACCAAAGCTAAACATGAGGTCGCAAACTTTGAGCACTAGACATATCTTATAAAAACTATACTTCTAATAATTCACTAAAGGTGAGTAATTAAAGATCAAACGATACTAAAAATCATTACAAAGTTAATTTTGAAACTATTAAAATAAGTATTACTTACAATGAGAACACGTTAAAATTTTTCGTTAAAAGTTAAGACGCAATAAGTCACGTAAGTTTTTTATACCACAAAAACTGGAAAGAAACAAGGCTGGCCAACCGTCGTCACGGCAAAACACCAAATACACTAAAAGTAACCACTAGGTGGCGTTGAGAGGGGGAATAAAATTGAAAATATGAAAAAGGAAACAAAAACCGAAAAAGAACTAGAAAACCA